GACCTTACTCAGATCGACGAAGAGGGTGCAACTGCGGCTGCCGCTACTGCTCTTATGGCAGTCGGGGCGTCCTGTTATGAAGAGCCTCCACCATTTATGGTAGATCACCCGTTCTTCATTGCCCTTGTCTGTGACACAACGGTCCCGGTCTTTGTTGGACATGTAACGAAACCGGAAAACCCGTGAAAAGGCGATGTGTCCGTATTTTATTGCCGACCCGCTTTGCATCGCATTATTTCTTGTGACTGCTATGGTTCTCCTTTTAATGATTCCCATCACCGGTATATTACGACAGCCGAGATTACTTGGAACAGCTTATAAAATTTACAATGCGAACCATTTTTAGCTTACAATTGTACATGCTCCCTCCCTTTAATCGGTAAACTCAGCGACGGGTCTTGACCTTACTTTACTGCATGTGTGATCGACTGACCTATGCTGGAAGCTCACCGTGATACTCCTGGAGGCTGTCCCACTGGAGTGAACGGTAAATGGAAGTCTTCTAGCCATCCTAGAGATCTGTTCCTTAAAATCCTACATTAATCAGTGGATGTGTGCTAGTATCCACCTATTATCTTTGAGCCAGAGGTCCTGTATGGTTCCATAATCTAACTTGAACACTCCGACATTATCCTGATCACCGTGCAACCAAACTAAGAATACCGTCCCTGAGACTGGCGGCTTCTGCTCTGGTCAACCCATGTGCGTGCGTCCGCAGAAAAATCCACCGAACATCCAACATTCATTCTTGGAACCACAAAATCCTGTCCCTTTTGGGTGCCAGCTGACATAGGCAGCAAGCGATGAAACGAAAAGCACAGGGACAAATAACGAAAATGAGCCATTCTAGCACGCGTATCCTTGCTGATCTCTGCACATCCAATCGCAGCAGTTTATGTGACACTTGTGGCACGCATCCGGAAACGGAGAGAAGGTAACGTTCCAGTTGGTGTGTGGTGAGGAATTTTGGGTCACGAGTAGGCTTGACGATTCCGAGCATGAAGAGGAGGAAACAGGTGCGAAAATCTTCAGTGCTATTTGCACAAAGTTGAGTAGACTCATGCAGTAAATCTCCATCATCCGCGTTCGTGGAGTCAACGATTGCACAAGTCTGTCACTGACCGGTACAGTGGGGTGTCAAGGTTCCCAAACCAAACAACGGCGGGCGCAATGTTGGCTTGCTAGTGTGGGTTGCGAGGACAGTCTCGCGGTTCTGATTGGCTGTGCGGAAATCGTGGCAACGCAGGTCGGAAACAGTTTCAGCAAACAGCGTGCGAGCACGCGTATATAAATAAGCAGGTCAACGGTGTACATTCACACATACATACCACACAAGTATGGGATAGGGCGGCCTTTGCGGAAGGGTGAGCGGCGGCAAAAAGATGAGCAAAATAAGTGGAAATAAAAATATCTAAGCGGAGTAAGCGAATGAATTATCAAGTTAGGTCCAATGGCTATATAAGTCCTAAATCCTTGGCTTTGATAGACAGCATAAACTGCTTAAGATGAGTTCTTGATTCCCAAAATTAACTGCTCATTGTTCTGTTTTGTGACACTCGGTACTTTGTCTCAGACATTACTGTTTGTACAAGAATAGCTTTGCTCAGGCTGGGTAGACGAAACCGACAGACACGGAATTATTTTTTTTGATCGTTTCCTGGTGACAGACTTCATTGAAAATATTAACTTCACCAACTAAATAACCACGAAACATTACTATCAATTACACATGGCAGAAATTGACCCGTACCAACCGCTGCTTCGATCATCAACTTGTCTGGTTTAAGCTGTGAGGACCACAAAAAATGCGTAGACCTCCGCTGACCATTGAGCAGCTTTTGGAGCTCATGATGATGAAGAATGATTATGACGATGATGAAGAGGAGTGGGACCGATGAAGATTTGAACGCATAAGTGGGATGACATGGATTAAACTCACACATATATGACTAACTCTGCTGTAGGAGAGTGCACATCACGGAGCACAAGTCGTAATGACATGTATCACACGAAGGAAATCTTAGACGACCATACTACTCGCGTGCTACTTATAACTAACAATGTTGATGAAACATAGCGACCTGTACAGCAGCGGTTGCTCGACATCACTGACGTGCTTAGCCGTTTGTGGTCCACCAGGATCTGTTCGACTGCCGACTGAACATCCGGAGAAGATAGCGAATATACACTCATTTGCAAACTAATTTGTTTTTTCGAGAGACTCACCTGGAACCCAGCTGAATCTCTCGGTTTTGATGTGAAGTGAGTCACTCGAAAAAACGAAATTAGTTTGAAAATGAGTGTATATTCGCTAATTTCGTGCAATTCGGTTTCAAGTAGAACATAAGGTTGACGGAAACTCGGGAACTGCGCCTACCTGCTGAGCCCCAAGAGGGGCGAAAACGGTCGTGGGCTGTCGAGGAGTTTTCAGCAACCTTATGAGTAACGTAGTATGTCCGGTTGCCATGTCACCCGAAGGAAGAATATTTTTCAACTGCAATGATGTAAACAGCAAATTGGTTAGCACAAAGCCTTGAATGGGCTAACCAAGACGGAATACTTATACTGAAAACATGAATTGTTAGGGAGAATACGTAAGCTTCTTCAGAACTTTCCAGCCGTGTACTGGAAGTCCTGTTGTTTTGAGATACGAGTTGAACGAACGTGCCCTTGGTACATGGATTATGGCTTACAGGCTTAATCCAACTAGAGTGGTGCTCAGAACACAATGACTCCACTATCCTTGTGTTTCAACTTCGCATCCAAAACTTCAGGTAAACATCGAATGTGTGAGGATACACACCGGATTATCCGTCTGTTACTCTAGGGATCACAGTTCCATTTCCCAAGAAGTAAACGCACGGGAAGCAAGGACAACCAACGTTTCCTCAAGCATTCTAAGAAGCATCAGGACATCGCTTGCCAATTCCCTCTAGCACTGCATTATGCTGAAACAGATCACCCGATCTATCCAGTTTTCCGAACATATGACCCGTACGTGTGACGCACGCACGCGCCACACAAACAACTAATCAATTTACGCGTAATCACACGCACGCTCAATAGCATCCGCGGACCTGTCCAATTGCCTCATTGTAAACCACCGGCTCACACTCTTGTCGCGCGGGCGAATGCACTCAGCAATCTTATCCAGGAAACAAAACCAACAAAGTATGGTATTTAGAAAGCTTCTCTTGCATGTGGACCTCACCCCATTCGACGAAAATCTACTCCATGTTCCTCGGAGGCATCGAAAAACCGTCACTCTCTACTTGACTCCCCTACAATGAAGACTTGTGCGTTCATTAGTGCTTCTTTTTTTCAAAATGAATGCGCATCATGACTAGTGACATTGCTAATTTCGTTTCATTAGTTTATATTAGTCGCAAACGAAGCGATGCATATTTCCAGCAGTGTGACTCTGAAACAAAGCGATAGCGATACACCTATTGATATCGATATATCCTTTACAGTGGATGTAGCGACACCTGTCTACTGCCAATAGTGGCAACTTAGTCTCATTTTGCAAGGTGATCCCTCCAAGACAACCGCTCCCTGTGTATGGATTTGATTCAGTAATTCAGCTGGTAGGTCGTCTGTGACGCATTGGACGGGGTTCCAAACTTGCTAAGACGCTTTGAATGGGTGAAAAATAGTAATCAGAAACTCGCATCTAACTTTGCGTTGATCATAACCTTCACACTTGCAGAACAACAGCCTTATTTATCACATGTTTAGGACAAGTCTTATGCAAGTTATGCATTCACACATGAAATGATGAGACCTCCCGATCTGTTGATTTAATGTGGCGAACATACTTGGCGTTCCATTCCCACGAACTTAGACTCCCCACACGCAATGCATGCTTTAAAATGGCCCTGGTCGTTGAGTCATACCATCAGGCGGGCGCCTACACTTCTGAGTTCCTGAAACGAACTTCAGTGCTTTCTTGGGGAAACATATTTCTCTACTGATTCCCCATCAGTGAGTAGAACACAAATTTACTGACCTGAAGGTCCGTGGTCCGAACCCCATCTCTGCCTCCAGGCTTGGACAACCCCTGGCAATATCCCAGCCCTCTTGCTTCTTTCTGATGACATACAGATAGGCACCGAAAGCGTGCTACAGCTGAACGATGTTTTTACTGACTCTCTATCACAAAAAAGCCTTTGTTGATGCTTACGGGTTTGCCACCAACATTTTGTGGGTGTTCCGTTAGGACTGCTTGAACAATGAGACAAAGCATGGGTATTCGTTATGTCATATGTGTATAAAAGTGGAATAATTATGAAAGCGCGACCTGTCGTCAGCTGGTTTATGTGGGAATTTGTCCGATCGCAAAAATTCGGCAGCCAGAAAGTACTGAATAGTAACTGACGGTCCACGCTTCTGGCCGTAGTGAAATCACATTCACAGTCACATCGCACAACCACGAATCTGTGAGACCCACAACGATAACGGTCGACCGTAGGAGTAGAAACAACCGACGCAAACGGACATCCGTGCAGCAGTAATACGCTTTTCTATCCTATACATAACACCGAACCAGTTCGGTGCGATGAAAACGAACGCTCGATAGAATTATCGATCGACCTAGATGGTCCTTTTAGAATAGAACTCACTACTAGCAAAATACACTCGTTTACAAGCTAATTTGGTTTTAACGGCAGAATCAACTGAATCTCTCATTTACGGTGTTCTTCTGCACAGAGACCACCTTGCGCTCCAGTGCCACAAGATATCGTAGAACATTTTCTGGGCGAGACCCACTGTTCGAAGGGTTGTTGAAAACTCGTTGACAATCGCATTTAGTTTTCGTTATCCTTCAGGCTCATCAGATTGGTCCAGTCCCGGAGCACCTATCAGCTCCGATCCACATCGTACGCAATTCGCGAAATACACTCATTTGGGAGACCTAACTGAATTCCAACTTATGGCATACAAGAAGTGGAGAAAAAACTATATATATATATAGGTTTGTAAACAATCCATAGAATGTGGGTCACTTGCCCGTGCATTATAATCACGTGTACAAGGCAGAAAATAGATTGAAGACCAGTTGTTTCGGTTGCTGGTTGGAAAATGAAGAAGCGCAACGACTAGGAAAAACCCGCCAGGGGAGAAAAAACGAGTCCATGTGTCTGTACATTGTAAAAGAAATAAAATACACAAATGTGCGGGCAGGTGCAAAGATAGGAGAAATTGAAATCTGGTGGGAGTAGAGCAAAAGGACAAACAACAACAGCAACGGTAGTGCACAGAGAGGAAACAGCCCACAGACGAAAAACGATCTGATCATTTGCGGGTAAATGCAGCTGTTTGAGGAAGTATCGGAGACTGTTGGAAGGTAGATGACAGTAACCTAGCTACGTGGAAGCGGATCACCAACGTGTAAATTCCTATGGCAGATGCCTACGTAAGAAGGAACGGATGGCGGAGGGACTAACGCCCCCGTGTGGTAAGAATCTATCTGAAGGAGAATCGTTGACTCCGAAAACGACTATCAACGGAAGGGCCAACTGAGCTGCCGGTTGAAGACCGAGTGGAGGTTGGTCTACCTGTACCACGGTGCTCTGTGGATGGTCGCGGACGGCTAGTGGTCAAAAGAGACGGGCCAGATTTGGTAAAATTAGGTTGGGGGTGAAGCGTTGTGGTTGAGTAGCTCCCCCTCGTCTGTACGGTCGTCATGGAGTGCGACAACGGCTGCGCCTGGGAGGGACGCGTCGGGGAGGGGCGTGTTAGAGTGGTGCTCGATCGAAAGCCCACATCCGAACTGAAATAGAGACGGATTAAATCAAGCATTACACTTAATGGTTTCATGATGGAAACATAATAACTGATGGAATGGTGAACACAGAGTCGAGCTTACTAATGCGAACTGGGGAGTATACTCGGGATGGTCCGCGTTGAGCCGGTAGTCAGTGTAGGCATGTTGAGGCACAATGTGGTTGTTGGGATCACTGTGTTGGCAGAATTCAGATAACGTGGAGGAAATCGGGTGACAGAGGAAGAGTGCACAGGACCGGTGAAGTATTGCGCAGTGCCACTGGACGAATTTTCTAGCCTGCTAGTTCCGTTCACTGCTAGAACGGCAGTGGTTGATAGGGCCGAGGTGAGCTTTTGGACTGTGGACGACGAATCACCGGTGCTCGGTCGAATGGTAGCGGATGAGTGCAAGCCTGAACGTCGCCATCGATTCATCATATGGCGCATACTGATAAGCGAGATGGACAAAGCGAGGGCAACAGTTGATGAAACATTCAGGTTTTAGTAATAATCAATCTACTTCTCTGACCAATGCAACGCCTGGAACTGCAAATATATCAGCACGTAAATTTGGTGTACAACAACTTCAACTAGTAATCACACATTAGCGTGTGATTCACTGGAATGGAACTACTCACCACGTGATGGTACATCCTGTGGAACCGGTACATGTTACAAAAATCGAGACAAAAACAAGCTTTGGTGATACGGTGCTACTCAAAATACTCATGGTATACACATACATGCATATTCCGACCCAGCCAGCAGTTGTCTTGCAAATGGTATTGGTACTCTTTTAGGTCCCTGGTTTGATGTTCTCTCGCCACTGTAAATCAGTGACCAGGAGTCCAACCGACCTTCTCGTTCCTCCTGTGTTGCACTCACGGACAAATCCCACTGGACGATGAGTTATGCCAAACAAACCGGACCGTGTATGAGGCAAAATAGTTCGGGAACCTGTCAGTAATACCGCTCCAGATCACCAACAAAGGTGCGTCAGCAGCGAGCAAAATAGTTCGGGAACCTGTCAGATCACCAACAAAGGTGCGTCAGCAGCGCAGGGCCCTGAATTTCAGATTAAAACTACCGTTCTGGGTTGTGACGTTTGTAGACCAGACGGACACGGTTTCCAGCTGCTACCGTTTTGCTTACAAACCATAGAGAATCGTAGGATGACAGCCACGTATTGGAGACAATGGTCTGACAAGTTCATCAAGGTCGAATTAGTCCAGATTTCCATAATGGGAACTCAGACCGCTTTGCATTGATGGAGGTGATATAAATCCATATACATCGCTAGATGCATTTTTGAACCGTCTATCTGTCATTAAACATTGATGCGTCTCATCCAGAGGTCTTCATCTGAAAAGACTACAGCTGCTGAAACGGCTGAGTTCAACGACCAACCATACACAAACACTATGATCCAGAGAAAAGGGTTCTGCGACGTGGACAGTCCACAGACAAGTGACATATGTGTCCTTGTCATAGGAACCTGTAGATCGTAATCGGCCCAGCTATCGTGAGACACTTTCCTCCTTTATCTCATGTATCACAGCAATATTGGGCCGATATTCTTATCGCATCCGAGCAAAAAATTTAAAGATACCGAACACTACTTGAGCAGTTGATTAATGTGAACAAACCAAACGACTTCCCACGACATACCGGTAAATGACCTGAGCCGTGCGCGCTGCTGCACGAAATCGGCGGAGAGGTGCAGACACGGTTGGGGGTGAAAACCCATCGCCGGAATCCGTAGCGGCAAGAGACGCCTGATCTGAGTAGACGCTGAAGTCCGGACGACCGAGGCTAGCCACCACAGCTTCTTCGGGGTATTGAAATCCACCAAGCAGTAGCAGTAAATAACGCTTTTGGAAAGTTAACGCTCGCCTGTAGCTCTCCGAACGGAGATAGCGTGCGTGGATGTTTCGGAACTGGATGAGGAAGCAATGGGAGATGGATAATGAACACGTACTATGCAGACCATAAATTCACTGCGTAATAACGGAGCTGAGCTGGCCTCACAATGTTAATTAGCATTGGAATACAACACTTGATCGGTTACTAAGAGAGAGGATGCAAAATCTCTCCACCAAGCAATCAAACCTGGCCACTCGTAGCTCTTTAGTGGGCAGTGTGTACTGGGATTTGTGCGCGCTATGTGAGTGGAGCAGAAAACGAACTTACCCCCTCATCAACGCCATCACTGTACTGTGTAAATTTGGGAGTCGAGTGAAGAAGTATGGCGCAAACAGCACCAAAGGGTTCATTCATGGTCAGTCATCTAAGAAGTTATTCCCCACAGACTGAGACTTGCGATGATGCATATATGTGTGCATCAAGGGCCTTTGTGATGGTTACTGGACTCTGTAGACATTAAACTTAATTAAGAATAACGCAGCATCGGGAATCATGCTGTTTGTTTACAAACACGCCAATGAAGAATAGCAGAGGCGTAGGACTACTCACCCGCTCTAACGAAACTGTTTGTTCTGGAGTTGTTACAGAAGAAAATCGATTGGGAGTCTCGTTTGCCAGTGGTACGTTGAGCTGCAAAAGAGAGTGAAAAGAAACAGTGGAAGCCGTGATTATAGTACGAAAAATAGCACAAGCACAGAACAATAAGATCGCAGTCTGTAAGACGATACTGTGAAGTTAGAGACAAAATGCGTTCTCACCGAAGTTGGCTGCGCTGTCCCCTCTGTTAGGAAACTCCCCGTGACGTGTTTGATGCGAAGTAGAGGATCCTTCGGTAGACCGACTAGCTGATTTTCATCGCGTTCTGCACCAACACGTATCCGACTAACTGGAGTTTGCGGGGAAAGATAAGCCTCCGATCCGCTCAAGGAATAGCATATGGAGACCTTGGGGTCGAAAGAGACGGCCTTAGAAGCGATGGGTGGGTTGTCTGGAGTCACTTCATCTTCATCGTCTGAGGAGTGGTCCGAAGATTGGTTGCAACCATTCCCATAGCGCTCATCCTCCTCCTGGTCTTCGGTTGAGGCGATTGAAAGAAGACGAGTGCATACATCCTTCAGCTCGGCAAACCGGGAACTGGGTGGCAGTTGTGAATAAATCTCACGTACACCTGTGAGCGGGCGTGTGCTTCTTCTAACATTGTTAGCATCGCTCACCGGACAAGAAGGCAATGGACTCTGAGTAAAAGCTACCAACAAAGGCATCAGGCGAAGTTCTGTTTCTGCCAAGCACAGACGTAGTTCTTTGTTTGTTACCTAGAACGCAAAAATAGTCAAACGGCTACCGCTCAGTAAGCAGAACACAAACGAAACGGTTTCAGTTATTATACACTTCAGAAAAAACGTCTACCTCCAGTTCCCGAGCCCGGCGCTCTGCCTTGTTGGCGGTGTGGCGTGCCACGGCCAGGTTAGTAGCTGTCCGACTGATGGCATTGAATAAATCCTTGGGAGAAACCGAAGAGGCTTCCTGAGAAGAAATGGCTGATTGTCCAGGTGTGGCGTCCAGAACAGACGAGTGCTCAGGGGAGAAGGAAGCACTGCGAGTTGGAGAGGGAGCAAATACGAAGCAACAAAATAAGAAACAATGCCAAAGCCACTAATCAGGCCAGAGTAAATATGGCGATTCAAGGACCATTAACCAAGATCACTGTACTCGTCTAATGGGCGAATCACAGAATGAAACAGGGATAAGATAAGGACAGATATGCGCAGACTTGTTTGTGGGGCAGCCGCTAAGTGTTCTTTAATCTAAATTGGTGTACCGAGTCCATGCTAAACCAGTTAAATAGTGAGGAAAAATACCAATATGGACTGCACAATGAGTCATTACCGCTTTCGGAAACATTGCCGGGATACGAGCAAGACAAGCTAAAAGCATTTTGACTAGCCTGCTTCATGAAGAAGCCCCTTTATAATAAGGTAAAGTTTACAAAGCCGATGAAGCGCACTAAAAGCTCTGCCCTTTTTGTGAAGTTCATCAAATAGGCCTCATCTTCGTAACACAAAAAAAACTTAACTCATATTTGAATACTACTACCTCAGACGTGTGTGCCCACTTTTCAGATTAAGAGGACGTGTCCAAGGAGATTAACCGACCATTCATAAAATTCACCACCTCAATGTGCTACACAAAGACCGCCCCTTCTTCCACCAACTATAAGTAACGTCATAACAAAGAGAGCACCTCGATTTCTTGAATACCGTTCCACCTGAACTTTGTACAACATATTCACTTGACTTGCTCATTTCACCTCCAAACTATTATTTCTGATCAGGATAAGCAGGATTCAAAGATATCTTCAGCAACAACCGAAGAGTATTTGGAGCGAGCAACCCAGCTGATCAGTTCCCTAACACTGGTTTAATTCGCAAACAGGTGTTTATCATCGTTTCACGTCACACTAAAGATTTGAGCAACAAGAGAGAACCATAAGAAATGGGCACTTTCTTCTCCGGACTGAAGAGGCATCAGGTTTCGCGACCAGATCGGTCCCGGTGGACGGACTCACTCAAATAAGTGATAAATTATTTAGGAATTATAATTAAAAAAGCATTTAAAGCTCTAACTGGTACACCATGCTTGGCAGTTTAACAAGCCTTGCAATTCTGGGTTAGCCTGTAGTTAGTTTAATGCAATGCTCTCCGAACGGCCTCTTGGACATGGTGTGCGCCACAGAACTTCTCCCGATCCGCATTGATACCTCGCAAACTACAAATTCCGGCCAGGCAATGCAATAAAATTCTACGGAGTACCGTTGCAAAGGCACCACTTTCCAATACGTAAAGGTATGTTTATTTCCATTACTCGGTAACCCGGATAAGGACCATTAACCAACTGCAGACACCTTTCCTAGAATGTAACGATTTTGCCCAGTTTTGATGCTGAGTGTCAACTTTGATAGAATAGCCCCTCGCAAAAGAAACAAAAGTATATCAAGGAACGCAATGTAGTAATGTAAGGAAGATGAACTCCATTCAATGGAATGACAAAGAGTCATGGACGACCTATAAGATCGCTGTTAACAATAATGAGGAGTGTTCATCCCTGAGAAGAAATTACCGCACATTCTTCAAAAATTGCGCACATCGAAGGTCGCTTGGTCTGTCTGTACAGTACGGTTGCCTAATTTCATTGGTACGAAATCGAACGAATACTCGGAAATGAGGAAAAACACGTAGCTTACCTGTTCGCAGATTTGGACTGAATCCTTGACTGGTCTGCGGCCTGTTCCACACTCTCAGCCCGTTTCTCAGCAACCGTCACGGCATGGTTAGCCTCCTATTTGGAGAGGGAGAAATAGTTAGCTGCGTTTGAGTTACAAAGTAAGAGTGCCGTTTGCAAACTAGCCCAAACAACACAGTAGCGGGAGGGACGAGAATCGTAGGACTCTATGAGTAACCCAGTTACTGTGATCGGATGGAATAAGCAGCAATCAACTGCTTCTTCAAGATAAACCAAGTGGGGGACGGAAGTTTTTAAAATATGGTTTGAAGCAACTATTTAACAGATACCAGTTGAAGATCAGCCAGTAGTAAATACGCTGTCTCACTTCCCCGAAATAAACACATATAATTTCATACACTAAAATAGCTTCAGAAAGGCCACTGAGTTTATGGAACAGAAAAACCAGCTATCAATTGAACGTTCAACCAGCCTATCAGCAATAACCGACGATGGTCGCGCGCTCAGACATGACTTGAAACAGCTGACAATCAATACGACCGGACAGTCTTGACTCAAGATCAAAAAGCTTGTTCTTGTGGTGTGAGCCTATTCCATCACTGAATTTCTGGAGTAGGGGTACACGTACAACGGTTCCTCCCGATAATATCCCACCTATGTTGCTAGCCGAACTTCATAGGCAGCAGTGACCCCAGATAATATTCTCTGATTCGTCGTTCTCCAGAAAGTGGATAGGCAGGTAGACACGTTGAGCGATTTGGATGTAAGCCAATTGGTAAACAAGATTTGTTATCCTTAGAGATGCCAGACAATCTGTATCCATATTATTCTAGAATGAACTCTACTGTGTTCTAACCGGAGCTCGCTAATCATTTCATTTCGCAATGATAATCTTTGTTCTAACCGAGCTCGCTAATCAATTCAATTCGCAATGATAATCTTACCTATACCGATAGTAGGTTTGAAAAGGAGAACACCGAGTGGCTATACAAGATGTGCAATAAGATTGTAATAAAAATTAATAAAGCAGCAGTACGTACAGGACAATCGGGCAAATCCTACAGCACATCGCTTACCACTAGTGACTGTTTTGCATCGCGCAATTCCTGTTCGAGTCTATCGGTGTCGGATTTCAGATTCTCGATTTGTGTTCGGAATGCGCTGCTCTTTTGTTGTTCCTCTATGAGCCGTGTGCTGAAGGATGGGAAAATGGGAATGAACTTTTGCAAAAAAAAGTCGAGGTCGGTCTAAAAACTCACAACCTCAAGTGCACTCGCAAATCTCACCAAGAAGAACTCAAAGACGAAAGACACAAAGTGATGGTGTGAATCGAACGCAGGGGGGGAGCCAATCCGGAGAGGTACAATTAGTATGAAGTGACACATGGTGGCGAGGTGAAAATCAAATACGCATGTCAACCCTACCCGAAAGAAAAACAAACAATACATTGACATAACAGAGGAATACCTGAAAAGTTAGTGCATCGAACACCTGGAGACCAGGGAGGGAAGAAATTCAAGGATACCTGTTGCTATGCCTTGAGGAATCGAATGCCAACAGATAGGAGTCGACACTCGCATCGAGATAATTGTGGGTACCGTCAATCCGAGTATACCCTTGCATCCAGTTTAGAATAGGGAGAGATGGGCGAGTAAGGCGGACAATGCGACAGCAAGAAAAGCTTCAGAAATACCTAAAATAAGTGACTAGATGGGTTTCACCTGGTATTCTCCACAGATGTTGTGTTTGTTGAAACGACTAATTGGAAGAACCAGGAGAGCCGCCCTCCAACAAAGGATCACCATTAACTTTATCGTAAAAAATAAAACTAGTGGTTTAATCTTGTAGGTATAGGCGAGGAAGTTATACACGTCCAACGGGACAAGTACAAAGGTCATGCTTGGTAGTGTGAGGAGATTTGGGATTTTTGTGGAGATTTCGTCCTGTAAGTGAAGCCAATCTATGCTGAAAAGCCGAGAAGCACTGTACAGCTGTTTCATCCTTATTGGGAACCATCAGCAGTGCGCATCTCACGAAAATCCAGAGAGTCTCGAACCCGCGACCTCCTGGCCTAGTTTGAACACTTAACCATTCGGCCACGAGCGGCTGATCAGCAGTGTGATTAACTCGCACTTAGACAGGCTCATCCTTCAATCACGGGATCCACATCACGCGGTCACACGTGTTGACTGGCTCCTCGGGCAACTTTTCAGAGGACGTTTCACTCATCGGGTGAAGTTTATTCTTCCAGTGAGCTACTCATAGATTGTTGGTAGTATGAGGAGATTTGAGGTTTTTGTGGAGATATCGTCCTGTAAGTGAGTTAAGTAAGTGCGAGTTACTCACACTGCTGATCAGCCACTCGTGGCCGAACGGTTAAGAGTTCAAACTACTAGCCAGGAGGCCGCGGGTTCGAGACTCTTCGGAGTTTCGTGAGATGCGCACTGATGATGATTCCCAATAAGGATGAAACAGCTGTACAGTGCTTCTCGGCTTTTCAGCATAGATTGGCTTCACTTACAGGACGAAATCTCCACAAAAGGTCATGCTTGGTGAAGACATGTTATGGCCTTTGGTCAGGTGAAACGTGGAGAAAAACAGCTGACAACTGAAGTAAAGGAATTTTGAGCATTCATGCACAACCATCATCAAAACAACCAATTCGGTTAAGTATAGCAAACTGCATGGTGTAAATACAACACGACGGTTCCAGCTTTCCAGTTTTCTGTACACAAGAACATAGAGTTATCAGGGAATAGCTGTCAAGGAAATATGGGATAAACAGAAAATGACACAATATGGGATGTTTTTTGCAAAGCTAATTCAAACCGGGCTCCTGATGGGTGAGGGAACTTTTAAAACGTAAAAGCGGCTTTGCGGGAGAAGATCCGAATATAAGCATCTCTTAACAGAAATATTATGAGCATGAAACACGGAAATTACGGGGATCGTTACCTTCGGAGAATGTTGCCATACAAGCGTCAGTTTCAAAGAACGACAAGGCATATCAATTACTATTCCCTAAAGGGATAACGTCAAGGGTATAGGGCATGTTCTGGCATCCCGTGGGAAGTGGCTCATCTTCCTGAGATAGTCTACGATGGACGGAGTGGAGGTTATGGTCCCACTTGGTTTTCTAACCATCGTTCAACTACTGATGGGCTGCCAGTAGGGTGATGTAAATCAAATAGTAAGTCCATCCACTTTCCGGGGGGATCGGCGTCGAAGCACAACCGGTATTCAGTTGGCTTATGTTATGAGTAATTTAATCGATTTCTTAAGGCAACTGAAGGTTGTTTTATCGCACACTAGCTGTCCACGTCTCAGTTGCCCGGCATATCATGTGTTTGTGACTCATCTGATGGAGTGATGTTAGTAAACCGAATAGCTCGCGAGCAATCTGCCATGAGCCTCTGTTAGCCACAGATTTTATAACGCCTGATTGGCCCGGCTACCATCCTCCATGTCAAACAAACAAAAATATCGAACTACCCGAAGGCGGCTTCTCTCACTTATTCATCCAGCTTCGTCCTGACTTATCCGGTCACGTTTTGGGTCGAAATCAACTATCTTTCAGGGAGTCAACGTAATGCGCTGTCAGTTGGTAGAACAGTTGGTTGAACAAACCATCCCGCCCGAGCATACTGCGAATATGAAGGCCAAAGCAGTCTGAACATAAACAGGAGAGCCCAGACAACGAACATTCAAGACCGTTCTTGTCTCTTCAGTCGTTCAGCCAGTTATATCTAGTTTACGGCAGATCCGTCACAAGGTTAGAAACGGCGAAAACGAATCGACGAAGTATGAGAGCAACAGACTTGTCAACGGCCATGGAGGTTACAAAGCCAAATTACTTACTTTAGTCGGTCCAATTCGGCTTGTTTCTGTTCGGACTGCATAACTTCCGCTTGCAGGTCGGAGTTTGCATTGGCCAAGTCGGCTTTCAGGCTGTTTACTTGGTTGACCAACCGCAGGTTGAGGCTGTCCGCACGGCTGAGAGCTTCCTTGTGAGTATTGAGTCGTTCGGTAAGACGGTCAACTAGAATGAGGGAGACAGATTCAATGATGTGCAGTGCATAGACCAGAAAGCAAAACGGATGACTGGAGTTCATTTGATCTCCATAGTCGTCTAATCTTCAAGACGACCTGCTTAAGCAAAGTTTTCAAACAACATCATGTGCGTCGGGCATCAAGGCCATGACAGTGTCACGTGTCCCTAGTCTCCAACTCTACACCAAACAGTCATTCAAAACACAACTCTTGATCGGTTTGCAAGCTCCGGGATACAAATGAAGCACAATGGAGAAAAAGCAACCTACTTTCAGAGGTAAGACTGTCCCCTCGAGTTATAGAAGTATGTAATTCCGCGCTGAGGTACCGTTGTTCCACCAAGTGTGCTTGGACCAAGCATTCGCGATACTGACAGGACGAGAAAGGAGGAGAAAGATAAACTTTTGAGGGAAAATCAAACGTTCACGAGTTAAGGTTCTTGGCCTGGGAACTGACGTTTTTGAAAAAGGTCAGAGCACCACCCCTCGGGGAGAGCGAATAATAGTGCTAAAGAATGGTGCTACCCCAGCATAAACATATGTGGTGGCTACACATCCAACGCTCCGTCAAACAATTTGAAAAAAAAACTGGCGACACCATCGAATTCGGCTTGTTGCCACATGCTGGGGTGTCTCTATTATAGCAAAGAAAATTTGCCGTGGGCTCAATCCTAGAAGGTGCGTCACATCTACAGCAACCAAGCAACATTCGTTCTCTTCTGCGAATTCATATGGTGTCTGTTTCTCGGTCTATGCTACTCTTCCCCGTAGGCAGCAATGTGAGGTAGGTAGCACATAACCAAGTCCCACAGAATGGAGCTCCATGTAGCGCTGAACTGAAATGCCTGTTAGATTAGCAAACATCCAGTTTGACTGCGAATTCGCAGGCACCAGCATGTATCATCGACGATTCTGAGATATGAACTATCGAAGACCGGAAGGATACCTCAAGCTCCCTGATCGTAGAGGTGGCCTCGCAACTATGCAACGTGTCGTGCACCATACCCCAACACATATGATCCTTTAGGCCCGATTACACACCTTCTAGGAATCACAATTGGTTTGAACTGGCGACCGCGATTCTGGCCTTCGAGATTCATGAACCGGCCACAGCTTCTGAGTTATACAAAGCGTTCCACAACCTTGCTGAGTTGGAACAGACGTGCTAAAGTTTTTTAGGCCACGGTTAATGACACTAGGCTTTGTGGGTGCCAAAGCCCGTGGGTGTAAATACAAAGAACGTGTTATATTAAAACACCGAAAGGTGGACCACTCAACAGAATCCAACAAGCCCTCGAGAACAAGCGATGCGGGTCGCCCATACGTACGATGTTGCTCTAGTAGGTGGCAGAATGTGAAGACGTGGTTAAAAAACCGCCGATTGACCGGTTAGTTGCTTTCAGGTGGCAGTATCAGGTGGTGTCATACGCCAATGGAGATACACCTGAGTTGCCTCCTTCTCCCGAAAAGATGCAACTAATTTAGATGAGCACCTGTTGAGGATTTCACCTCTATCTTCGAACAAAGAAGGTTAAGTAAAATCGTTCAGCTGTAGCACTCTTTCGGTGCTTGACTGCCATGCCATCCGAAGGTTGCTCAAGGGCTGGGATAGTGCCAGGTTGCTCAAACCCAGACAGGGGAAGTCGAGGTAGAGGTTGGGTTCGAACCACGGACCTTCCGGTCAATAAATTCACGCTCTAACCACTTGGGCCATCTCACCCAGGTTGATATTGACGATTCAATGACTCCTGAGGGAAGAGATACAGTATATACTCCCAAATCTGTTGAAAAATCTCCTTCACCAACCAAATTATCAACCAAATGAAAAACAGCAGGTGGTCAGCTGTAGTGTTGAGGGATAATCCGAAAACACAAAGCCCAACTCCATTAGGAGGACGCTCTGTCCCGGTATATCAGAGGAAGATCTCTCTAAACAAACATATACCTATATATTCGCAATGCACTACTCATAAGGTTGCTGAAAATTCGTCGACCTTATGAATAGTGCATTACGAATATACATGTAACGCGATATCTCGAATATCGTAGCAACTGAAACATGAGGTGGCCTGGTACAGCACATTCAGTTGCCTGGAAACATCACAAACGAGAGATTCAGCTGAAATCCAGGTGAGGTGAGTTTCTAACCAAATTAGTTTGCAGATGAGTGTATTTTGCTAAACATATACCTACTTTGAAGGCAAAGAGTTTCTTATTATTAATCAAAGGTCTACAGACGGGGTGTCATGTAGCCGGTGGTCGTAACTCCAGGAACTGTCCCCGAAATAGGAAGTTGCTGGCGACGGAGAGCGATCCAAACAAACTCAACCTACCTGATCCTCTTGACGAATAAAAGAAGAGAGCTGGTCACCCAAACGGGTGATTGCTTTCCACACTAATCGTTGTGCAGGCACTACTTTCGCACCGCACTCTGTCTCCGAGGGTTTAGATACAGCTGAAACAAGTTCCGCAGTTTGCTCGAATGACAACTGGAGAAGACTGAGCCATACGGTTTCATCGGCGGCCAAAGCATTGGCTGTGCAGTGGACAAGTTTTTGGATATCCTCGTATGAGAATGTCTTTTGTTGCGTCAGTTGGTAAGGTGAAGATCCAGAGGTTGGTATGTCATAGACTTCGACCATCTGACATGGACCAGGTTGGGAAACGGAAGAAGCAAGTGTACACTAGCAAGCGATATAGGTATAAGCAGGCAGAAAACGAGTCAGAAGCGAGGCACTGTGAAAATGAGCACACATAATCGGTATGTCAATAAATCCCACGGGATAAGAAAAATAATGGGAATCCACGTACAGTCTGCTATCGGTTTCATCTGCATGGAGATCATCAGACGGACGTATCCTCCAGAAACCAAAACAGCCATTCTCCAATATCAGAATAACTATGGTTCCAAGTTGCTTTTGTTAGACCCTATGTTGCAAATAAGAGATGTCGTTCATGGTCGTCGGCTTGTTCGCTGAGCTGGGCAATTTGGTTGCAAACGTTTCATTCATCCAGTATCCGGTGCGGATGAGGTCGAATAGACTGTGCGCTTTGGGTGACACCTATCTGAGTTCATTAGTGGTGGAAGGAGGGCGTTAATTGCCGAGCTTTTCCGGCAACTAAACGTGATCTTCATCAGGAACAAAGTAATCGGGATCACAAAGGACATCTATCGATTTCAAAGAAGCTATTCGCTTGGTCAAAGTGTGTCAGTCACGTGCGTGCATGCGTGGAAGCTGAGCTCAGCTAGTTTACACTGGCGGTTACTGTTTATAAGCCCTGACCAGACACTCAATGTGTTGGGCTGAGAACCTCTGTAGACAACTTAGCTATTTTTCGGTGCTGTGTTCTAGTCTACCTAATCGGCCACACCATAACCTATCGTAACTTGTCCGTTTTGGGTTTATTTGAGGCGACGCTAAAGTTCGCCGATTCATGTGTCTACATATCTGTAGGAATTCCGGCTTATTGACTTTTAGTCGCAGAGGGTGCAGTTTTATGGTTAGTTTGCGGTATGAGCTATTTGGACCACCAGAGATACGACGTAGTGGGTGAGCTCCGGATGGATTGAACGACATCTGTAGAGGAGAATGTCGGTAGCTCAGGTAGCGTAGATGGTCGTTGGCTTGTTCGCTGAGCTGGGCAATTTGGTTGCAAACGTTTCATCACCAATCGAGGTGACATCATCCACAACCACTAACCCACCGCTACGCACAACTACGCACTGATGATGTTACCTCGATTGGTGATGAAACGTTTGCAACCAAATTGCCCAGCTCAGCGAACAAGCCAACGACCATCTACGCTACCTGAGCTACCGACATTCTCCTCTACAGATGTCGTTCAATCCATCCGGAGCTCACCCACTACGTCGTATCTCTGGTGGTCCAAATAGCTCATACCGCAAACTAACCATAAAACTGCACCCTCTGCGACCAAAAGTCAATAAGCCGGAATTCCTACAGATATGTAGACACATGAATCGGCGAACTTTAGCGTCGCCTCAAATAAACCCAAAACGGACAAGTTACGATAGATTATGGTGTGGCCGATTAGGTAGACTAGAACACAGCACCGAAAAATAGCTAAGTTGTCTACAGAGGTTCTCAGCCCAACACATTGAGTGTCTGGTCAGGGCTTATAAACAGTAACCGCCAGTGTAAACTAGCTGAGCTCAGCTTCCACGCATGCACGCACGTGACTGACACACTTTGACCAAGCGAATAGCTTCTTTGAAATCGATAGATGTCCTTTGTGATCCCGATTACTTTGTTCCTGATGAAGATCACGTTTAGTTGCCGGAAAAGCTCGGCAATTAACGCCCTCCTTCCACCACTAATGAACTCAGATAGGTGTCACCCAAAGCGCACAGTCTATTCGACCTCATCCGCACCGGATACTGTGTGCACATTCCAAAAATCAAGATCTTCTGAAACAGGAACGTCAACTTGCTAATACACTCCTTTTTATTTCGGGCCCCACGTCCACCGACCATGCCATGTGTGTTAGTTGAAGCTATAGGATGTAGTCAGCCTGCCTAACGAGACAAAGATGCGGATTTTGTAATACGTCAGCACTGCTGATTTCCTCTCTCACAGGTTCCGCGCATCCTGAGACTGGGGTAGTACCGGAATCGGAGTTAACCTACGACCTCTGAATGAGACGTGGTCTCCGGACGATGAAATGGTTCTTCACGAACCCAGTTTCGTTATGCGATGAAAAAAATGATAGTGGTCTCAGATTCAGCGGGTCACATTATCCGGAAGATAACTACGGATGGAGTTGTCCCAAGCCATGAGACACAGGATAGTTGAATGGCAAAAAACTATTCAAATGTAACCGATGCATGACTCGAATTTCATTGGTACCAAGCCTCCCCGTAAGTCCCGCATACGTGGTTAGAAACCTTGTACAGGAAAGTGCATCCATTCACGATGAGTTCAAACCGATCAAGTAACAGACACTTCACAGAGGTCTGATCGCGAAACATCTATGGAGATGGAGCAGAATCGGTCGTGCTTTTTTGTTAGCTCGAGGTACAAATCCACATTAGGGTTTCAAAGGAGTGCTCCCAGCATCCAGCCTTGATAAAACTTTAAATGTTAGAAGTGCAGTTGAGAATAAAGATTATGAACAACAAACCTGTGATATTTGACTCAATGCGTTTTTCAGCGATGTGTTTGCTCGAACCAGGTCAGAAAATACGGAGAACTGATGTTGCATAGTCTCTTGAGATTGCTCTCCGTTCTCAGTCGGACCCTGGAAGACCTCCGTAGGTTGGAGCCCAGTGGAAAGAGAAAATAAACGCAAACTCTCCGCACGCAGTCGCTGGACAATGGTCTGTAGGATGGAAGCAAAACGGCGACCGAATAAGTATGTCGTACACATAAAAGCTGTAGGTAAGCGGGCTGTAACAAGGATCAACTAACCTTCAGCTCCACTGGTATATCCTCTTTTTGTATTTGGGGAACCGGGCACGGAACAGCATCAGTGACTTCAGACAGTTGATCCGGTGTAGAAGTCGCTAGAATAATTCCAGAAGGAACAACACTCGGAGGGACGTGTTCAGTCTGCGGAAGCTCTGCTAGTTCGGCCTCCCCAAAGTCGTTGAAGCCATGGAGTGTTGAAGTATCCTCAACAATAGTATCCCATTGGTCACTTTCTTCCTCAACCTGTACTACGTTGGGTGGTGCAGGGAGCGCTGCCGTTGGAGAAACCGAGGGAGCTCCCTGTGAATTGAAGTAATTCAAAGGAATCGATTACGGCCAAGATTGTATGCACATCAGTTTCGATGCTAGTCCTACGTATTAGATTACCAAACCAGATGATACCAAAGAAGCTTTGCCTTACGTCTAGTGCGGACTGCTATGAAATGTATGTTTACAGGTTGGCTACTGGATAAGCATGAACCACCTAATCCTCATAACATCTGACAAAAAGACAAGTTATGGAAGACTGCTCATTGTAACAAGTTATACAATCCACCAACCGACGCTGACACTGCTAAAGAACATCTTAAAGGGAACCACGGGAATTAAATGGAAACATGTGTCAATGGGCGGCCAGTGGATAACTCACGACACGGACTAGTCCATGGACACGGCGGCGTAAATGGCAACAACTGTACCATACACCAAATCACAGAAGGAGTAAACCCAAGACACAGAGATGGCTCGTCATGGCGCGCTCGTAACGGTTGCCACACGTACACAACCGGACCAGATCAGTAATCTGCGGATCCCTTCTGGTAAAAATCAGTCGTGAAACCCGTGATGACTGAGATCTGGTGAAAATCAGCCGAAAGAACTCGAAATGCAGGCCTCTGAGGCCATCCACATCCGTACTGACATGCATAGCTCCTTTTCCAACCAACCCCCACCTGACGGCCCACTGATAGTTGCTGGATTTATGCACCGATTTATCACCTCCCGCCTGCAATGCGCAGCTACCTACATCCTGTAAATCATCGGTGAAAGAAACTGCGACAGCTACAACCACTGTACGACGAGTACGCGGTTATTACATCTGACAATGATGATGATGACAACCATTGTTAGCTATGAAGATTCAGTGACCAGAGCTGAAAGGTCAACCTTTGGAAACCAACCCGACTGTACCTGTACAGAGTTGGGCGATGCGACATCATCTCAACCCCATACTGTGTTGGCTAACATGTCGCATATTTTTGTGCCGCACAACTATGCTTATTCGGGCTAAAAGTAAAAAATCATTACCAGAAGGTAGGACAGTAGACTGAACAAGTACCCATAGCAGTTATGGGTACTGAGCAACAAACTACAAGAATTGTAACCACAAACTGGATTCAGCGCCTACTGCACACTCCAAAAATAAAATAGGATAGTTACTGACATCTGACTGATACCATACGTCGAGGCTTCTCTAGGCAAGCGAATCGAGCCCCAGGAAGGTGGATCGAGGTGAACGTGCTCAAAAGTCTCCTGTGATTAAAGTGAACATACCGTATCAACAGCGCTTTCTGTCTGGATATGACAGTCTACCATACACGGACGAGTTCGGACATTCAATTCTTCCTCCAAACATTTTAACCGAGCACTTAGGGATTCCTGTGGAATAAAAGTGAAGGGAGAAATAAGAGAAAGGCGGAAGCAAGCCAATCGCAAAGACTGTAAATGTATTCGAAATCGGACGGACGCTGAAGCCGAGCGGAAAACATCACTGGGCCCAAAAGGTGAAGGTAAGAAGAGGGACCTAAATGCTCAAGGATGATTATCACCCAGTGCGTTACAAGCGTACCACGTCACAAAAACAACGTAGATAAATGTGTACTTAACAATCGTGAACGAAGTGAATAATTCGGAAATTACGGAACCAGACAATGTTTCAAAGAAGTAAAGGTTGAACACCAAAAGCTTCGTATTGACTCGACCCCTGACATTTAACATAGTGCAATTCGGCGCCAATGTAGCAGATATCACCGGAATCAGGCTTGATCTTCTTAACTTAGGAAGCAACTGAACACCAGTACAGCGAGACTGTGATTTCAAAAAACTGGTTGATTGGTTTGCTTGCAAAAGGCCTCCAGGATGTAATAACATGATGAGTTTTGGAACGGCACTTCTCCAAAGTCGACCAAAGAGACAAAAGAGGAGGAAACGACAAGCATAACATACCACAAGTTGATCGGCATCTGTTTGCACACTCTGTTCTGTTGCATACTGGATATCCGATTGACTGACACCGCAGTTTCCCTTTCCAGAAATCTGCAATCCGACCAGAATGGGACGAGGAATAACAGGTGCACAGAAAAACACTGAAAGTATTTTATCTATGATTCCCACTGCGCAAGTTCCAACGATAGACAAACATCAAAAATAGTCCAAATCACGAAACATCACCACGGATGGGACTGACAGAAAAGCAATGAGGGAAGTCTTAGTAGCTTAGTCCATGAGGTAAATTTAGGACCGATTGCGCCTAATACAGAACATTCGACGCCAAAATTAACAAAACCCACAGCCATTTTACGTGCGGCAATCAAGCTAGCGCCGCCGATATGAATGGTGGGCGAAGAGTTTACGCCTTATAAACGAAGGGTATGATTTTGTGATAGACATGAGATCAGGGCACAATGATCTAATGAATGAGTAGCCTCATGTAAGCAATGTGTTGGTGCCCAGTGATATGAAATATACGTGCAAGAATAGGGTCATGAACTTACCAGAAGAGCCTCAGTGTCCGTTTGGACAATTACATCCGCTGAGGGAATGACCTCCAACGGCCTGGCTTCCAGCACCTTCACCCTGGCTGTTAGGTTTTCCTGAAAAGCGAGGACTAGGTGATATGACGAACGCAGAGTTTGTACAACGTACGGTTGTTCGGTACTTAGTTACAGCGTCTATAGAATGACCAGAACAACTTCTCTCACAAAAAAGAAGAGCGAAGACGGTCAAATACCAAACTGTATAGTCATGGGGTTGGAATGAGAGTGTGGGGTAAAGCCCAATGTTGAATCAAATGCTGTTTTCCGTTGAGCGCCATTGGAGTTCGGACTGAACGGGTGGTTCTCAGTTTCCAAATTTGTGTTCAAAAACGCTTCTTAATTTTCCCGCGAATATTTCGATTCACAAACCAGCGCATTTCACACGGGGATTCACAGGGTTTGATGTATTATGAACGAACTCCCATGATTCTACTTTAAGCCGCTTTTTCACTGAGAGACTTCGATCCTTCATGTAATGCGCCTCATTCACTGTGAATTCACTGAATACTAGGAGTGTATTCTACAGTGAATCAGGCGGTCCAATGAGCTTAATTGATAAGTTCCTTGTAGTTGAGAAAATCCCTTTTTACTGGAATATAAGTCTGGTCTGACCAGAGATACTGGAGAATCGACGGATTCCGATACATCAGTGCTATCTCCAGTGAGCCTATCAAAGCTGTAAGATCAACTGCTCTGCCAGTGAGTTCCACCCATTCTTCAGTCATAGGAGCCCAATTTTTCGTTCGGAAGGCATTTTGAGCATCCTTTAAGCTGGTTGTCTTGTTTTGGAGTATCTGCTAACAGCAAGCTGGACAGCTCTGAGTGCAGTCGAACTATCCAGCTACCTAGCTCGATCTGGTTGGTTTCCAACTCGTTGCCGAGGCGAAAGCTCACTTCAAAAAGACAAGCGAAACTGGCTTACGAATTATGCATGAAGCGCATAGAGAGAAGGATAGACAGCACTAGCTTTTCTATTGGTCTACTTGACACCAGGTGCACTACAGAAGATGACCAACCGCATGTCATCGTTCAAACAGACCAATTCACCTTGGAATCCAGTAAGTGACTTGATCGCGTGAGGAAAGAGAATATAATATATGAAAAACTGTGAACGGAAAAAGGATCAAGCCTGAGGGAAATAAACGTACCACAACAGCATCAGGGTCTGTTTGAAGACCGACTTCAACGGACTCCACAACACGGGACTGACTGGTCTCGAGAGACGTTTCGAGTTCCTTCACCCTAGTAATCAGGCTCTCCTACAGTGCATAGGAAGGACAAAGAAATAGGGTTGGTTGTTTCAACGTATGTTTTATAGTTATAAAAAAATGCACACTTTACACAACTACGGGTTAAAACAAAGCTTTTCTTTCAAATGATCTGAGTTGACAAGCCATGCAGTGACTCTTGACAATGGTGGTCATGGAAACAAACAAATGACCTTGAGGTCGAAATTAAACGATCCTCAGATATCAGAAATTCCCATTCAATCAGTATTCAAGCCACAGTGATCTATGAGGAAGTCGAAATCGCTTTACACATACCACGACTTAAAACGCGAAGAACAGCTAGTGGGTAGAATATTTATCGTTCAGCTGTAACACCATTCCGGTGCCTAGCTGCCATGCTACCCGAAAGAAGCATGAGGGCTTGCATACTGCCAGGTTACCCAAGCTTAGACAGGGTAAATCTAGAAGCAGAGGTTGGGTTCGAACCACAGACCTTCTGGCAGTAAATTCGCGCTCTAATCACTTGAGCCATCTCGCCCCGAGAAGAATATTGGGAAACAACGACTACCGCACGATCCATATCATAACAATTAGCTTTCGTTGAAAGATATTCTTGGATGACTGGAAGGCTCAAAGGCGCGCATTAGGTACCGTAAACCGGTTTCTATCTATTGAAGGAGACCAAAATGAGAATGAGGGGTCTCTCTTCAAAGAAATGAGGGGTCTCAAACCAAACTGTCGTTGATGGAGAACGCTTTCATAAGTTGAGATAATAAAATCGAGGTAGCCGTATAGCCTACGTAGAGCAGACATCCAAATGGCATAGTGGAAACAGGTGAGGCTGTCTGTAAAGCAGCATGTTTCCACAAAACAGTAACGGGGAATCGCACAAGAAAAATCGATAAACGATGCACCATGCCATGAAAATTCCACGAATGCAGAGCTCACCCCTACGCAGAAATAAGTTTAAAGAATGAATGTGATACTCAAAAGGCAATCGCAAACTCCAAATATGAGTTTCAAGCTCGTGACCTGACACGGTAAGTCGCCTAAACACAAATCACCGTTAGACACAAGTGAAATTGAATAAACCGTATCCCACGCAGTCACGTGCCTGAAACCAAAGTATGTAAGCAGTGAGACAAAGAAGTGATCCACGGTGCACATTTAGCAGGTGTTGTCAACGATGGGCCCCGCCGTAAAAGTTCTCCTTCAGATACGACCGGATAGCCGGACGTCACTCACCACTCAAATATAACTGGGAAACACTCATTATTGTCCATACCACTATGGTGCTAACATGCGGTTAACGGAAACGGGAATTTAAAAGGAACAAACAACTTGCCATAACTGGATCCGGATCAGTTTGGACATGAAGTTCCACAGCGTTCCACCGGGTTGCATCGATTTCCTTCTCGATCATCTGGGGTCCCGGTGATTTCGTTCGATCCTATGAGACGGCGGCATAAAGCAATGGCGGATTACAAATGTGGGGGACAGTTCAATCAGCTGATCGCGGATTTGATTAAATACACAATGAAAGTCGAAACAGATTCAATACGTCTTAGTCCAAGGTCGGACGTCATTTTCGGTGTAACCGGTGTCACACTCTGGAGGTTCCTTTCTAGTGGAAACTGTGATTCCGTCAATTTGTTGTGCAGGGGCCACAGCGCGGTACCCCTCGTTGCAATGAAGAAACTCCCAAGAGTCCACTCCCACAGAGGCTCACAGCAGTGTTGATAAAAATCTAAACAGGACGTCATTTGCAGACGATGTTAAATGACCCTTAAAGTATTGTGATTTCTTTTAAGGAGGAACGGAATTCAACTAATCATGAATGACGGGCAGTTGCCCTCTTCCTGACGAAACGATTTGCATGGTCTCTGTTGCGAAATAATCTTTCTTGGAAACCAGTGGTAACTACGTAGAGCATCTGCAGCTATAGGTGAGTGTTGTGAAGAATGAGATTGCTGCGAAATATTACAAGACTCAAGAAGAACTGCGTCTAAAAGTCACCACAGCTAAAGAAATGTTAGGGTTTGGCAGATCCCTGGACTTCCTACAACCATCCATCTTTGATGGGACCAACCCCAGAACTGAAGTAAAATCCTCTGAGAACGGAGGGTGAAGGCAGTATGGTGTTTTCCCAGATGAACAGTATCAGTATGTACATATTCAAGGAAGCAGTGAGGCAGGCGTCGCCCGAGAAAGGACGGTTTAGAAAAGGTCAACCTCAAAAATCACACTCTCCGAACGCCCAACGTTTCATGGTGACCGCCGGTGCATTAGTCAATACGGTTGAAGTAATTTAAAAACCAAAGAGCCTGGTGCCCCTCAAAAGAAATGCTACGCTACGCCCCACGTTAGTCTAACCTACTTTGGCCGAGCGGGTCAGATTATCAAGTCCTGGCAGGGTCCCCGAAGAAAACCCTATTGCTTGCTACCTCACCAGCAGCGCCCGATTCTGGTGGAACCAGAAGACCAGTAATGCTGAAGTACGTCGAAAGGTCTTCGGAATAAGTAACTTGGCCACGACAGATGAACTGATCACACTCCAGAAGTTGCGCCGGCTCGGTTACGTGGCTTGAATGCTTGTCGACCAGCTTCCTCCAAGAGCCCTTTTTGCACAACCACACGAGGAGTGGAAACGAGCCAGGGATCAAGCAATTACTTGGCGGCGAAGTTTGAAGGCCAGTACCGGCCACTACCCAGACGCGTTGGTCATTGCTGTTTCCATGGGTAGAGACCCCGAGACAAGACACGTCAACGGTTAGTGAAGTTGCCAGACATGGCCACGTCGCGCGCTCAATAGCGTGCATGCATCCAAGCTGCTACCTTCAGTAGATAGCTCCCACTCCCGATCTCTCCAATAAAAACTCTACTGACATCCCTGTGTTGAAGCATTAATTATATCAGCTACTGCCTCCAACGCGTAGCTGACTACCCTTACCCACCCCCCCAGCTCAACGGCGGACGAAACTGTGATAGCTATAATCACTGCACAAGTATCCGACAAAGAGCGACATTGAGCCAGGGGGTCTTAGGGTCGCTGAATTCATGGCGCGGTTGTATAAACCACCCCATGATCAGTCGGCCTGACCTGAAGTTGGGAACTGTCTAAGCATCGTGAAGTTCTTAACTCTTGCACCCATCTGATTCTATGGAGATTGATCCCGTTAGATGTAGAATGATTCCAAAAACTAGCATTGTGCCTCGAACTGCCCACTTACAACGCGTCACCAAACATTAGTGTATTAATGCTGTGGAGGCAGCACAAATCCTTTGCGTGTTGAAAAAATCACGCACAAATTTGCAGAACTAGACAATGATGTAAGTGGAAGCGACAACACTTTCGAATGAATGAAGCACACGGCTCGTCTCAAGTGCAAGCGAACTTTCAGGTGGCTTTTGTGAAGTGGAGGCATTTCTAACGGTGTGTTTCTTTCCTTTACTATTGTGATGATTTTGGTAGACGAATTACAAGCGACATTTGGATAAAAGGATGATCTTGGGTTTTAATTATGGATGAATGTGACACTCCAGTACTATGGTGTAGTTTATAGTATAACCGTCAAAGATCTAGGCTTGCATGTTACGAATTATTTCTGTGATCAGCAAAGCATATCCCCATCCGGGTGAACTATAAAACTAGATTGTTCCTCGTGAGCGAACTCTACTAGAAATAAAGCTACCACACTGTCTGTGCATTCGGAAAGCTCTTCAAAAAGAGTTCGTACTGAGTACAGTCATGAAAACTGATTAGTTCGTTTCTTCGGACTGACTATAGCAAATCGAAATGAAGTGTTTGCTCCCAAAGGTTTTATTGTAGGAGGAGAACGCTGCGATAGGACCTTAATCAGTGGCTGTCTGTTATCGCCTGTGACTACGTGGGCCCCGTACAATGGAATGAGGATTGTTTTACACCGGTCGTAACATCAAAGGAGAGTAAATCAAACAAGCGACGAACCTCAGTAGGGTCCTCATCTGTCTGAACTCCAGTCTCCAGCACTGACCGTGTGGATAGGTTGGATAACGTCACCAACTCTTCCAGCTCACGAACTCTTGCTGTGAGAGATTCCTGGAAAGTACAAGATGAAAATGTTGAAAATGGATAATTGATTATACAATGTAAGTGGGCGTACAACGCCTCGTGGGCGTTACTTACATTCGCTTCGGTTAGGATGAACATGTCTTCATCGCGTTCAAGCACCACGTCCTTGCGTTCTTTTAGTTCGCGCTCTATAGCCGACAGTCGGGTCTAAAACAGAAAACCAATGGGGCATAAGAGTCATGGATGTCTACAGCAAACAAAATAGCAAGGGTTTCGATATGAACAATTAGAACCTACTTGTAAGGCAATAGAATCCTGGGCGAAACGCTCCAGTTCACATTCCCGTTCCTCTAACATCTCTTGCAAAAAGTTGTAATCGGTCTGCAAATCAGTCTGTCAAATGGGAGGAAGTGAGATGAGACGGAGGGTAAGCGAGGGAAGGCCTGAAGACAATACGCATTGAATCAAGAAAGACACTAAGCCTAGTGAGTTATGAAGGCCACCCTCTGAATGATCAATTTCGTCAATGACGTTTTCGCCCGATTCAGTGAGTAGCAATCAAACGAGACCTCCACTGTGTGTGAGAACTAGTAAATGCTAAAATACCAGCACAGACTATGGAACTCTGAGGGTAGAGGAGTGCAGTCAGTGCTTGAATTACCAGCTGAGGTTGAAAATTATACGCGAGGAGATAAAAATCCATGTGGGCCGAAAGTGATCAGCGCTCACGAGCGACAAAATGCCAACAAATGTGGGGAGGAATATTTGGGCATCAAGTGGTTCAGCAAACCTAAAGCATTGACTCACGTTGAATGGGTTAATACTTCTTACGCACAAAAACCCTCGAAACATGGGGATTTCCCTTGCAAGCACTACCAGTTTGTTTTGGCTTCCGATACCAAACTAAGTTAAAGAAAAAATCAACCATCAGCACATGAGAAACGAGAAACTCACATGGTGTGTCTGCAAGCTTGTGATCTCCTCTCGCATAGCAGACAGAACCAAGTCAGATGCATCCTTCTGCTCCAGCAGAGCTTTCAGGTCGGCAGCTGGAATCTGAAGAAAAAAAAAAATCACGGAATGAATTGATGCTCATTTGGTATTCCTTCGGTCGCTGTTCCGATCAAGCACATCTAGCCTAGAATCAGTTGATCGACCGATTTGTAGCTGTGTCGAACCTTACTATCGAAGAGTTAAAAAAACTAATTACCGAAAAGATGTCCCGTAACCGTACTGACCACGTGAATGCCACATCATTAACTGTGACACGTAGAAAAATAGCCCACCTAATGAGTGTGCAGTCATACATGACTCGATCACGGGCGGTCAAATTCCTGTGAAAATTGGATAAGCATCGGTAGTACATCTTGCTACCCAAAAATCAGTGTCGTATCCGTGCAACCCTGAGATTAAATTACAACAAATAACCATACGAATCTAAGGGAAAATAAGAGTGACAGGTGGAAAAAATTTCTTTCCACCTCAGAGCAACAAAGCATCGGTTCCCTGGGTGCTTAGGTGCTTTGTCCCGCGAACAGAGTCTCTCATACCAGGTTGGTCAATGGTTAGAGGTCTGACGAACACAGTCTCCTGGCCCTCCAGGTTGGGGGTTGGGTTGGAAGGCGACTTGTTCCGTAGAAATGGTAATGCATTTGCATTTCCCGCCAAACACCGCTGCCTTGCGGTTAGGCTTTTGAGCCAAAGGCTTTGGTTGAGGACCCTAATCGTCCTCCTGTCTAGGTGTGGGCGCCCTGGCAGTATCCCAGCCCTCGTACAACCATGACCTACACAACTAACAATATTCTCATGCCACATCGGCCGTCGCGTGGTGCCATCAGCCGGGTCGCCTTACTTGCTGCATACAGCAGGACGGGTAAGCGAAAACAGGCTACTGCTGACGCCTTCCTTCTTTCTCCTTCACATACTTTTTCTTCCCCCTCTCCCCACCCCATTAATAACTCTCTCCTTGTAGGCCCAGCACTTAGGACTGATGACTCCGTTCGTCATGCATCGGTTTTGCGTGCAGCATCTGCTCGTCACATGGTACCGACATCTTCAGGAATCTCCAGATCAGTCCTCAAGCCTCGACACCCACTCTATCTGGCCGCTTTCAATGTTCGCACTCTGAAGCAAGCAGGACAACAAGCTGCTCTTGCACTCACACTGGACTCGCTTGGCATTGATGTGTGCTGTGTCTCAGAAACGAGAATTCAAGATGCAAGCACAGTGATTGAGTTAACCG